AATTCATTGCGGTGAATTTTCAAGTTCCTCAGTTCGGACTTGTTCCGGTTGCACAACATTATTGGCGCCACTGGCTAGACATTCCAAAGTTCTCGTCAGCTCATCATTTGGTTCCTCATTATGGCGTGGTGTTTTGTATTCTCGGAAACATTCTTCCGTCAATTTTTCGATTCGTTGCGCTTCGGCCGGGGTTCTAAAATAAACATTATTTGAGACTTTATAAATCCACTCCCGCAAAAGCGTAGGCTCTTTGAATTGTTCGCGCGTGATATTCTTTCAGCCGCGGCGCGGTATTCTTTCCTGCGGCGCGGCTACGCTAAAAAGTGACGAGTTACAGCATATGACCAACGGGAACGTGATTCCAAACGTGTAGTTTATCTTTGCCAAACCTAGAATTGTTACAGGCATAACTGTACAAAAGTAAGCGAGCATGCCTGCGCGCCTCGTTCAATTGTCGTCCTTGCTCCGCCCTGTTCAAAAACTAGCCAATAAGCCGACGCGCTGACCAATCAGAGCTGCGCGAATGGAGCGAAAGGTTCAAATGCCGTATTCCTATCAAACAATGCAAAGATTTCAAACTTACAGTAAATCTGTAAATTCATAGTGTTTCTCTCCATCAATTGCTGCATGCTTCAACATGTGTCGAATGATTGTGTTTCGATGTACAGTCGCATAACCACAAGGGCATGCATATCTGAAAGACAAAAATCGATAAGATCGATACTTTGCAAAAACAAAAACGCAAACCTTTCAATGCCAGAATGAACGACAGCAGCATGATGTCGAAGATTACAACGTCGCATTGTTATATGTTTTCCACAGATCTGTAAATCGCCTATGAAGCGAGTAGGAAAAAAATTTTTGCTTTAAAAATTAGATAATTATTTTGAGCAAAGCTCTGATTGCCAAACGTTGCCAACAGTTCAAACTCAGTCTCAGAAGCAGTGCCTCTTTTGCTTGCGTATGCATCCGTCGCATCTGGTGAGTTGGCCTTCGGTCGGTAACACGTCAAAGTTAACGCTCGCGTACGCATATGCGAGGCGGAAGTGGCGGTCACTGAGGACACTACGACTGAGACAGACGGTACGTCAGCTTTCTAATTTAGCAACAAAATCCTAGCTGCTCGCTGATTGCCATACAATTCATGGAGCTCACCTGGCATGGAACTTCACCTAATTTTTCTTTTTTCTCGACACCTTCCTCTTGCTTCGGGAGAATCATTGGACCTTGCGCCTGCTAAAATAGGGAGTCTAAGGTAGTTGAATAAGTGAGTATGAGAATTACATACCGTAGTCTGATGATTCCACGGTCGTTTCATAGCTCTAGAGGTTCCTTCAGAAGCGAACATCTGATGAGCTCGTGATTCCAGAGCAGATGCATTGTTTGTTTGGTAATTATCCAAATATGGACTAGCGGCGCATAGCAAATCAGTGTGCATGGACTGGAAGGGAAAGGAAATGATTGAATGACAAGCTGGATGAAATGGATAAGTAAATCAATCACGTATCGCCGAGTCATCGACCGCAAGGAGTGCGCTGCGGACCCCGCACGGCGCCTGCTCCGCAATCACGGACTGCCTTGCGGTCAACGACCCGATTATATTCCAATGCGCAAAAGTAACGGATTTTTGTAGCAACCTCGACTGGTGCGGCATTTCCCGAAACATTCGCCCATTGAGCAAAAGTGGATTCTGAAGGTTCTGGCTTCGGAACCAAACCGAACAAATTCGACATGGCATTATGGAACTGTTGTGAAGTGTTGACAGCTGCGTTCACTGCGGCTGCATCAGGCCTAAGAAATCCCTTTCTGAAGATCAGTAAATCACCCGAAGATCAAAGGCACCCATCTAAAAAATTGAGTTGTGATTTTGATGGGGTACAATGGCTGGGCCCCAAACTAA